TCCCTCTGGATGGCAGTGCAGCCCTCTGGGGTATCAGCTACTCCTCCCCGTTTGGTATCATCAGCAAACTTGCTGAGGGAGCACTCTGTGCCTTCATCCAGGTCATTGATGAATAAATTGAACAGGACTGGACCAAGGACTGACCCCTGGGGGACCCCACTAGCCACAGGCCTCCAACTAGACTCTGCACCGCTGATCACCACTCTCTGGGCCCTGCCATCCAGCCAGTTCCTAATCCATCTCACTGTGCACTCATCTATCCCACACTTCCGGAGCTTGCCCAGGAGGATGTTGTGAGGGACGGTGTCAAAAGCCTTGGTGAAGTCGAGATAGACGACATCCACCGCTCTCCCCTCGTCTATCCAGCCGGTCATTTCATCATAGAAGGCTATCAGGTTAGTCAGGCAAGATTTCCCCTTGGTGAATCCATGCTGACTACTCTTGAGCACCTTCTTGTCCTCCATGTGCCTGGAGACAACAGCCAGTATGAGCCGTTCCATCACTTTTCCGGGGACGGAGGTGAGGCTGACTGGCCTGTAGTTGCCTGGGTCCTCCTTCTTGCCTTTTTTGAAGACTGGCGTGACATTGGCCTTCTTCCAGTCTTCCGGCACCTCCCCCGTTCTCCAGGATCTTTCAAAGATGATGGAGAGCGGCTTAGCTATGGCATCTGCCAGCTCCCGCAGCACTCTGGGGTGCATCCCATCAGGGCCCATGGATTTGTGGGTATCGAGGTTCCTTAGGTGCTCTCTGACCCAATCTTCCTCTACCCAGGGCAAGTCTTCCTCTCCACCAGCTTCTTCTCTTGTCTCTAGGGCCTGGGGGTCTAAAGGGCTGCCCTTGGTAAACACCGAAGCAAAGAAGGCATTGAGCAACTCTGTTTTTTCTGTGTTATTTGTAACCAAGGTGCCCATCCCGTCCTCCAGCGGACCCACGTTCTCCCTGATCTTCCTTTTGCTGTTAATGTATTTGAAGAATTTTTTTTTGTTATTTTTAACGTCCCTTGCCAGCTTGCCTTCCAGCCGTGCCTTAGCTTTCCTTGTCGCATCTCTGCACTCCCTGACTACGTTCCTGTATTTCTCCCAGGGGGCCTGTCCTTTTTTCCACATTCTGTATACCGCTGCCTTCTGCTTGAGCATTGCCACAAGCTCCCGGCTCATCCCCGCAGGTCGCCTGCCCCCTCTGCCTCCCTTCCTACACACAGGGATGCACTGTTGCTGGACGTGGAGGAAGTGCCGCTTGAAAACTAACCAGCTCTCTTGGGCCCCCCTTCCTTCTAGAGCACTAGCCCATGGGATTCTACCGAGGAGGTCTCTGAAGAGGCTAAAGTTGGCCCTCCTGAAGTCCATCGTCGCAAGGCTACTTACAGCCCTGCCTCCTCCTCGTTGAATCCTGAACTCCACCAACTCATGGTCACTGCAGCCGAGGCTACCCCCCACCTTAACATCTCCTACTAGGCCCTCCCTATTTGATAGCACGAGGTCCAGTAGCCCACCTCTATCTACATTTATTGGCAGAAAGATTATTAAGGTAACATGCTTTATAAAGTGTTAACTTTTTAGCAGCACATGCTTGCATTTTACTCACTGGACTTCAAAGGCATCTGGAACAGGAACTAAATTTGTTTGTTCCTGCATGTACTGAACCTTTATTAAAATCTAAAATCACTCTATTCTTTCAGCAAGAAGATACTCATTTTAGCTATTTGTACTATTCTGTCTTTTTACAAAAGGACAGTGTCCGAATTTGATTTCAAATTCACTTGTGGCATTTGTTACAGAGGATATTTGGAGAAATCCAGGTGCCTGTGAATAATCTAGTTTTCTTTATACAGTAGCCTTTGTGAAGATTTTGGAGGGGCAAGGAGTAATACCATTATAGTAGGACAGGGAAAGAATTTAGAAACTGAATTAAGAGACTACAAAACTATTTTGTTGAAAATCATCTTACAAGATTGTAGACGATCTATCAGACAACTAATTTTTACAAAGGCATCTAGTACTGGACTTCTCAACTAACTTCATAGAATGAAAACATTCCAAGTATCAGTCAAAAAATACCCTAGTATCTGTCCATTTTAGCAGATTAGAAAAGAAAGCAAAGAATGAAGAGGAAGATTTTCAGCATTTTTTTTTCCTAACTGGAATTCAGTAGAAATAAAAAATCAAAACTGAGAACAGCAAAAAGAGCCTATACCCTCTGGCAAGCCAGACCCATCTTATCCAACTGTAAATGCCAGAAAGGGACACATTTTAATACTAATGATATATGTCCATTGAAGTAAAATGAAAACTTTCCCTATGGGCTTTCTAAAGAAAAAGCAGCCAATGCTGTCCATGTGATATGCTTTACGAACTGCTTCTTTCTTTAAGCTGCTATTAAACAACCTCATTTTGTAGTTATTGGGACATAATCAAGAGAGTACACTGATTTTTACCAAAAGCATATCTAAATGTCTGATGCCTCATAAGGATTTCCTTTATGATTTCATGCTTCCTAGTTAAGAAGAACAAATGTGATTTGGTCTATGCAAAATATGTGAGCACACATTAGGGATTATCTTTTCAAGCTGTGATTTCTGTAGAACTGACTGGTCAGATACCATTGACCTAACTTTTTTGCCTTACACTAAAGGAAGCAAAAATATATTTTAAACATAATCCAGGATGACTTATTTGTTAAGGAAGTTTGGAAATGTTGTAGAGATGCAGAGGAATGACAGAGCTGAATATGTATGAAAAGAATGGTCAATGAATTTTCTGTTAAAATGTGATCCTTAGTGCACCTATGCTATTTGTTGAGCGAATTGGATTTTTTTTTTGGTGGTGGTGGTTTGGTGCACAGATGAGAGATAACTCCTTGAATATAATATGGTATCTAATATATTTAAATATTTACTTACAGAATTGGCATTGGTCGGGTTTGGCCAAGGTCTACCACCCCCTGGGCCCCTGTAACAGAAGATGAGAGTTTAATTAAAAAAATAAAACAAAACAAAACAGGACAGACAACTCCCCTGCCAATTCTGACAAATTCTGAGGAAGCAAATGCTTCAAAGTAATCCATTCCCAAAGCAAGTTAGGAGACAGCTTTTTTTTTATTGCAATAAAATGTGATCATAAAGTGTAACTACACAAGTCATAAATTATTGTTGTTGCACTAGCTTCTTCATTTAACAGTTTATAAGATGATTAAAGATATCACATTTATTTTTACAATCCTGCCATTTATATTTAAGACATCTCAGATCCTCACTCATTCTGTAGACTTCTGTATTTTTAGGACACTACCTGCTAGAAGCCAAAGGTCTGCAGAATCTATAGGGAAGAGTGTTGCACTTGTCTTAGAGCACTTGAAGGTGTAGGAAGCATCAGATCTTCTCTTATCGTGTTCTCTGTAGAGTGACTTGAAAGCCACTGCAAATTTGTCTCCTATTGTGTTTTCCTCTTGTCCAGGGAGAACTTAATTCCATGTTATATAAACGTGACATTTCATTGTGGCACAGGTTTAAACAGTGTGAAAAAACAAGTTCCAAAATTTTTCTCATGAGGAGTGTTTTTCTTTGCACTTTGCACTTATTAAAATATTTGGAGGCAATATCACATGTTTTGCAAAAGTCTGCTTACAGTATGGATCAAAGCAGAAAGGTACTAAATACAATTGCAGTCATAGAAACTGCACTCTTGCTTACATAATTAAAATAACTTCCTGAAGGATTGTAAAAAAAAAATTTATTGATTATAGATCTAACACACCTGTGGTAGAATAAGGTTTCATTAGTAAAGGTTATGCTAGTTCCTTATAAATGTTTTGATTTAAACATTTTTTAGAAAAACAAGCCATTCACAGTAGAAAACGTTGCTATGATCTGTACCTAAGGAGCATAGCAATTATATATATAAGTTTACATATTTTATACATTAAAAATTGAAAACGTGCCTTTTTATACACACTTTTTGACATTGAGATAGGCATCTAAGAATAGTTTACTGTTGCAGTCAGCCTGGGGCCGGTGACTGGCAATGTCTCCTCGGCAGATGAGGGGACTAAGCAGGAGAGGCGGGAGCTGCAGCCACGCAGCTAGCGCGTGACCAGGCAGCTCATTGGACGGCCTCGCAGTGGTCGGCACAGGATCACCTGCCTGATTGGCTGGTTGGGTTGCTGGGCTCCGCGTGCTGCCGGGCAGGGCGGGGGCGGCAGCTCTGTAAGTGGCCTTTAACCCTAAATAAAGGTCTGTGGCTTACGCTTACAGGGACTCTGCTCCTTAATGTGTCTGTAAGTGGTGTCCAATGTGGGGCCTGAAGACTAGCTGTCTCTGGTTGCACTGCCCAGCTGAACTCCGGGATTCACCTTGAAAAGAAGCGTCCTTTGTGCATGCACTAAAAGCCTCTTGAAAGGAAAGAGGTAAGTGGCTGGGAGCTATGGATTCATATCTAAGGAAGGAACAGAAGGACTGAGTCTGTTCCTTCACAAGGTGCAACAGTTTGCTGCTGTAGGGATTAAAGAGTTAATATAGAGTGCACTAATAAGATAGTCAATACTTAGTCTCAAAGTGCAGGAATTCCTGATGTATGGCAGGTCAGGATGTTCTGCATGGGTGGGTTGCCTATCTGCAAGGATTCCTGATGTATGGCAGGTCAGGATGTTCTGCATGGAGGGGTTGCTTATCCAGAGGTGTCCCAGTCGGCAGTAAAATATAGATAACATTGACATGAAAGCAGAACAGGAAAACGGGAGGGGGAACATTTTTGGGGTAAGAACGGTATAAAAGAGGGACGACCGAAGCGGTCGGGGTCTGAGGTGTGACCCCTGCGTGGGAAAGCCCGGACCCTAGCTAGCTGGTAATACTTATTATCTTTCTCTTATTATTAAAAGGCACAAAATATCGATGGTGTTTGCCTCTTTCTCTGTCAATTCAAAAACCGGACCTAACACTGCTTGGCTAGAGCTACATTATCTCCATAGAAATCACAGCCCTGTGACATGAACTGTAAACCTGGCAAAATGGAGCTTTCAAAACTGCCTGGCCTCCTTTGGTTCCACCTGGCCCAAAAGGGATCTTTTCAATTAAATAGCGGTGTCCTAGCAGCAGGGACTGGAGAAGAACAGGCAAAAGAAGCGTTTGATAAAGCTAACTCAGACTAAACATCAGACAGATCCTAAAAGCAGAATGGAGAAAAGAGAAAAGGAAAAACTCCTTTCCTGACAACAGCCAGAATCGTGAGAAAAGAATTGCTCTATCTCAGCTTTCTCAGTTTTAACTGAGTTCAGTAGAATAGTTTGGTGGCTGGGCTTCTTCTTTTAATAGTCTTGAGGCAACTAAACCACATGGAAGTTAAAAATCTCAGTGTTCATAGTCATAACATATGAATAACTATAATGCTGGTAGCATTAAGCATTCCTAGCTATTTATAAATAGGATGAAATCACTTTTTGAAGGCCTTGACAATGGAAAAGCAGAGCAGATGACAAAACTTTTGCTCTTAAAATGGGATTTTTTGCCTTACTGGCTTTAGAAAAGCTACATTACCCACCACTGCATCCCCAGCATGGCAGAGTGATTTAAATACTCAGAGGAAAGCAGACTTTAATAAAGACACCAGGCAGCTTCCTTATACAGAGTTTTGAGAAACTAAAAACTACTACATAGGTATGTTGCCTTAGGGATTTAATATTGAATCTTTCTTATCCTTTTATTACGTTATTGATAAAACTACAAAGAAGTTGGCTAAAACAATCAACTAAAAGAAATAAAGTGAAAATTCAATGAAGCATTTCATTTATGCTGCTAAATTATTTGTGGAAAATTGGAAAGACAGAAATGTGGGAAAGTTGTGGGTTTTTTTTTGTTTTTTTTTTTTTGTTTTGTTTTTGTTTTTTGCTAAAATTTCCGCCCTGTTGGAAGAGGCAAATGTTCTCGAGTGAGCCCCAAACGTGTTTCTTGTCAGCTTAAATGGGTTATGCCTTTCATGGAAGAACTATCACTTCTATAGCTCTCCATGGGATACACTCTTGTTGGAAGATATCTCCATGAAGGATTTGAACAGTGGGTGGCAGCTGCCTTATCCAGCTGTGGGAGAAGGGAAGATAAAGAATGGAAAGGCACTTGGACTCATGCAAAAAATGCCCAACACAAGTAATTTTTGCAGACGTGATGCTCAGGACAAAAACCTCAACACTTTCTCTGCTGCTAAGAATGAAAGGTGAGATAATTAATGGTTTTTTTCCTTCTTTTCTATCCTGTACAATATTTGACCTCTCAACTCTTCTTTTGTCTGTGAAATCAAGAATATACATAAAAATACTGGAAGCTTCTTTTCATCCCCAAACTCTGTGATATTAAGTAATAAAAAATGTACCTGGTAAAAAGCATCAAACCAGATAATGCTGTGACTGTAAGGCAGCTTACTGGGAAGTATAGAGATATGAGAAAGCAAATTTGGATGCCCAAGCTTAGCCACTGCAACATCGAAATGCAGACAGGGTCCATGAGGAGACTGCAACCTGAATTCCTGTTGGCTTCATGGTGCTTCTGGGTAAGCATGCCAGTTGTGGTTAGAGCTGAGCTGGGATAATGTCTGCTTTTTTCCTGCAGGCTGCACTGCAGACTCTCCTAAGAGGAAGCTCACCCTTCAGTGAAAAAGCTATTGGAATTTGCAAATTTACTGAAAGTCATGGGCAGCTCTAAGTATAGACTTAGAAAACTCTGCAGCAGATCCTGCTTGAAAGCCATATGGTTTATATAGAGCTGAATGTCGTTGGGTTTTAAAGTGCGTGCGTACACACACACACAAAAAGCTATCCATTTTTTTTTTTTTTTAAGCAATGCTTTTTCCCTTTTATTAAAAGTTTATTTTGGATGCATCAACAGTCATAAAACATTACTATGAACACACCAATTCCAAATAGAGTAATTTGCAGAGGATCTACTGCTACGACTAATTACAGCTGCATTCCATCCTTTAAGTAAGTCCTATACTGTTAATCCCAGTATTTGGGAAAAAATAATGTATTTCAGTTTCCTAACAGGCAAAAATATTCCACCAGGAAATTAAACATCCAGACACAAATTTGCAAATTGAAGTCAAAATACAGTGACTTTTTTTTCCTTTATTTCCAGGCATGAGTGAGATATTCTTAGTGCTTTATACGGTACTGCAGGTCACACAGGCTCTCCCTGAAATTTACTGTTTTGTCCCCAAAGAGGACATTTTCCATGAGGAAATAACATCTTACTAACAACTGCTACACCAAAGATCAGCATAAAATCTTAGCGCTAAAATAAAGTTATTTTTGAAAAGACACAGGATATATATCAACGCTTTTAAACAATGATTGGATACATATTAGCTAGGGTGGAACAAGTAGTTATTTATCAATGACACATTTAAGGAGTATGTGCTCTGAGACTGGAAAAAATTGCCTATGAGCTCTCTGGCTGGTTGTTGTAGCCATTTTTGACAATGGAGCACACTTTCATCCAGAAAAATGTAAAATTATATTTGGCAGATATTTTCCTCAAACAAAACTGCTTCCTTGTGGGCCTTCCCAGGAGAAAAGGCAGGATTTTAAAATGGCAATTGGTTTTGTAGAGCATACATATTTTTATATTTTACAGAAATCCAAAGTCATTGAGTACAACACAGGAAAATGTAAGAAGAAAAAAGTCTATGTGAAGACATGTAAATTAATATGTACAATACATAATATATGCAAGAAGAAAGTTCTTCATCTTACATAGAAATGTAAGTACAGTAAATGACTTACATTGCTATTTCTTATGATTTATGTAATATGCAATACTAAGGGATAATATAAAGAATGAATTCTAATACATTTGGGTCCATTTGTTCCTACTGCTCATGGGCTTTTCTGAGGTGTACCTTGACTCATTCTGAATGTTGGAACTGCCCAGACACCAAGTTTTGAACAAGATTTCACAGTGGGAGAACTTACTACTATCAGATTTCATGCAAAATTGACACCACTAACTTAAAGTAAGAAGCCAAGCTGATGTTTAAAAAGAAAAAAGCTGTGCTGCCAAACCACCATTAAACCTTTATTCTCCTTTTGATGAGTATATGCCACTTTATATATCAGAGGAAAAAAATAATCTGTTTGACAGTAAAAAGATATGTTCTGAAAACATATGTGACAGGGCACATAACACAGCTCTGTACATGCTATGGCACAGTGCTCTTTTACTAGTGAAGCATTTAAAGTGCATTATATGGCATGGGACACTGTGAAACCTTGTTCAGAACCAGGAAACAGCTTCGTGTTCCTGCTTGCAGCTGAATTAGAGTAAAGATGAATTTGTAAGAAAGGTAAAGGAGCACAGCATATGCCTGACAGACACGCAGATATCTCTGGTCAACTACTCGATAGTTACTATTTTACATCATGTGACTCTCTAGAAGAACTCATACCCTGTATCAAAGCTCATGAATTTCCCAAGCAAGAGACTGTAGTTCAGGGCACCTGCTTCAGCAAAACACAGAAGTTCAAAGGAAAATGCACTTCCCACATCACTGAAGTAAAACAACACCCTCTAAGTATGTTTACTAAGCACAGGTGAAATGTGCTAAGGCTGCAGTGTGGAAATATTACTATTTCAACCCATAAGAATATTCTTCTCTGCTTTTTGGAAGACAAGCAGGTTGTGGGGTTTTATATATATATATATATATCCAGAAAGCTGTTTGCTTATCTTTTATATGTAAATTCTCACTTATGTGGATAAATGTCCTCAAAATAGCTTACCTATCCTGAATCCAGAACACTGTGTTTTAGAATGTTATGTTTTCTCATCATTATATCTCCTTCTAAGGAAATCTACGTGCTGCTTATATTATACTTGCACTGAATTTCAAATATCTGAATATGTTCTCTACATCAATTTTATTTAAAAGAAGAAATGCCTACCCTTGGGAAGATTCTTAGAATTGTCTTGAGTCTAATATATGATGTCTATGATAGAGTAACACCCAACTTTAGATTTTATTATATTTGCTTCAAGAATGTATGTCTGGAAATCAGAAGAAATTAAGGATATGCTGGATTAGATTTTTTTTTTTTTTTCTGAAAGTATTATCTAACTCAATACCTCTTTAACTGCTTCAGGTTGGTGTCTCTATTTGAAATGAAAATTATCATCTATTGCTTATTTCCTATAAAAATAAGAGTAAAAAGTTATCTATGATAACAAGCTTGTATAAAACCTGACTGCAAATCTATTCTTAAAAAAAAATAAGGCATAAAAGGAGTAAAACAAAAGTGTTCTCTGTTTTAGACTGTAATCTTACTACCTTGACTGTCACGCTGCTTTCTGTTATCCAACCAGCAGTTGCAAAGTGCTGGTTAAGAAACAGGAGTAATTTACATGGAGGTAGGGCCAAGATACAAGAATATC